CCTTCAGCTTCCTTATCTCTAATCTTAATTTTTCATTTTCTAACTTAACATTTTCAAACTTACTCTCTAACAATTTTTTCTTAACACTATAATATTCAGCTAATGCAATATTTCGAGCTTGAGACCCATTATCTGGCTTCAGGAGTTTCCGTTTAATACAACCTGTAAAACAAAAAAAAAAGCTATTAAAGTTTTATGGAGTAACAAACATAAAGTTTCACATATTATGTACTAGCTGCCCCCTGCGGTTTCCACCACTTCTCTGCTCCCGTAGGACATAGCGTGATGTTATGTAGCATATGTGTTATTCTGATGTACATATAAGCCTATATTACTATAAAGTTGCATCAAAATCCATTCAGTAGTTTTAGCGTGAAAGAATAACAAACATCCAGACATACAATTTTTTTTTAACAAATTAGTAGGATATTACCACTAGCTCTAAAATTCCTTTTTTCCTTTGGTACCACTGGAGTACTAATATTGTTCTGCACCGTCACCAACTCATCTCCAAGGCTATTGACTGGCACTTCACTGCCCATGGACACTGCTGTATAAGAATTGTTGATAGGCAATGGACTATCAATCAATAGCATCGGAGACATGCTATTATCAACCGGCACAATAAAGGTCTCTACACTCCCGTCACCGTCACCATCACCAATCATTTGGGGCTCAGCATCACCACCAAACCTCTCTGTGAGACCCTCTCCAGTGCTGCCCAGTAATGCTGCCACCCTATCCAGTACGTCATCAGGAGGAAAGTACCCTGGTGGCCCACCTCCAGTCTGGAACATAATATGACATAATTCAACACGTTAATTATGAATACAACATAAACATACAATCATATCAATTTTAAACTTAATTATTTATCCGTTCCATTCGTATTAAAGTACTGCATTTTCGTGAGTTCTTCTTTAAGTTTTCCCATTTAAGACGCAGTTGTTGTGGTGTACGGCGACAGGTACCAATGTTTGCGTTGAAAACACCGGCAATCCGTGTCCATTCTTCGACCTTTATTTTATTGCTTGTGGCGTTTGTTTTTTATTATTTATAATCTTGCTCCCCTCAATTAAGGAGAGCAGTCCTTTCGTCTCTTCCTTCGAAAGAGGTTTGGTTTTATTCTACAAACAAATAAATTAAAGCTTAGTAAGTTTTCTACAAAGTGGCGCGAAATACCGCGTCCCCACGCATTTATCTTTTACGGCAAAAATAATACATTTGTGGACGTGAATGTTTACTACTCGATAAATTAAATCATAATTATACTATTTACTTACAGTTTCTGGCTCCATTTTCACTTTCTTCTTTCCAAGAAACAAACTACAATCAACAACTTGAGGTTTTATGTTATGTATAATTTATAACATAAACTAATGGTTAGGTTAGGTTTCTTAGCGATTTTCTAAACGCCATTAAAAATATATCAAATTTCTGGAAACGACCGGACATAGGGTCCACTTTCACTTTCGACAGACCGGACATAGGACGGGCACTCTCTTGTTTTCATCATCGCGTAGAGATTGCAAAGCGAAGTGGCAACAGTTCATAACAAAACCAACCAATCGTGGCAAAGGTGACCTCTGATTGGTCCATTTGAATCAGATCAACAATTGATGGAGCGGATTTGTATAAAAAATGCAATGAATAGTTCTTATTTGTGCCGCTAGAGAGTTAGGAATTGTTGATCATAGTGGAGCCACATTTGTATGCCGAATCATACATTACATCAACAAAAACTGTTTTGATCAACAATTGCTAACTGATCAACAATTAACTGATGCTACAACCCGTCTGATCAACATTTGCCGAATGGATACATCTATATATATATATTCAAAATGTACAAGTAAAGCGCTTTAAAATGATACCAAATACGGTATAATTATCTTAACTTTAGGCCTCCACATTAGAGTTTGTGATACCGTTATGTTAAGGCGTTTCTAATGATATGTCATATGTTGAATTCTGATAAGTAGTTTAGAAGTTACGAGGGAACAGATGAACATACATAGATACATAAATACATACATAGCCTGTCAAAATTATAACCCTCCTTGTGCTTTGCCGTAGTCGGGTAATAAAATACACTAGCAACTCTACTAGTGTTTCGGGATATTCTTGGGCGGTGGCGATTGCTTGCCACCAGATAATGGCCCTGTTAATTACATAAAAAAATAATCATATATAAAACTAAATACTGCAACAAATTTACGTTCTAGATAGTTGTTCATAATGTCTCGATGCAATATATTAGGACTGTTAAGAAAAGGTCGAATGCCTCATAGTTTATTGGATGGCAAGTTGTGCCGTAAATAAAGGTTAACACATATTTGCTATGGTGGTAAAATATGTTAGAGACTTCGTTCGTGCTTCGGCATAACTAGATTGTTAATGGTTGAAAAGAAAATCTTATTGGAATTGTTGGCTATTGTAATATATCAGAATTTAAATTACAATACTCATACAGCAAATTAAGTTGAGAGGTAAACTCTTGTGTGAGAAAGTTGAAGAAATTTGGACATAATAAAAATGTCAGAAATCGAAAATAGCTACATCTGCCTTAAGTGCCAGCAGCTAACTAAATGCATCTTTCCACGCAAAGAAGAATTGAGAAATCAACAAGCTTTTTTAAGGCAAATTGGTGATTTCAAACTTATAATTAGAATAGTTATACCTAAAAACCTCCGTGATCCTTATCTTCAAGTATGTGTCGGGACTCTTACTGAATAAAAACCGCCCCATTCCTACTTTTGGCCAAAATCGGGTCGCCGTATATTGTTGCGCTTGCATCCGCCATCCGACAGTTGCTATAAACCCTAAAACTTACACAGTGTCATATATTATGTCATTACCTAGTACGTCACACATTTATTCCTATCCTTCCAACTCGTTTTCTTGTGGGTTAAGTCAGCAACTGATCAGATGGTTTACCTGATGTTAAGCAATCGGCAAGTGCATTGTTGGCCTTATTTAAGTTAAGAGGGTTAAGGATTTTGGCATTGGAGGACTTGAGTTGTGAGTGGGTAAAGGTTTTGACCTCTGATAACCTCACTCACTAAGCGAAGATTCCGCAAGTGTTATTATACGTTAGTTTTCTATGAGGCCATGGTATCCGCACTATTAAACCGAGCATTACTCTTCCGAATTTAATCTTAGTGAACAAATTGAATTCAATAAGCTTGAGAATAAGTGCCATTTTATTATAAAACTTTATTAAAGAAATAGAAATACATTAACTTCATCGCGGGCATCCCGCCAACCCAGGTGGTGGATACCATTATTTATCACCAGCACCATTCATTTATACAAGAAAAGCATTTCACAGTTGGTTTTGGCACTAAACTAAATTGCTTTTAAGAACTTTTCTCGAAATTTTATTAGTGGAAGCCTGGTTTTGAACCTATTGCAGCTTTCTGGATAAAAATATTTTATGATTTTTTTATGTAATAGGTCGGCAAACGACAGACGGATTACCTGATAGTAAGCAATCAGAGCCACCCATATACACTCGCAACAGAGGAGTTACGAGTGCGTTGCCGATCTTTCTTTTGGGGATTAGGTATTTGGCGTTTTAAGGATTGAGAGAGGGGAAGGGTTGGGCCTCCGGTAACCTCACTCACACGGCGATACACAACGTTGTGGTTGTTTCATGCCGGTTTTCTGTAAGGCCGTGGTATCACCCCGGTCGAGCCGCCCCATTCGTACCGAAGCATGACTCTCACACACTGAAAATGAATGAACATATAATTTTTCCTCAGAATCACTGGCGAAGAGTGTCACTAAAAGTTGTTGTAAATATACCTATACATTTGCTATGTAGAGTAAACTAATATGTATATAAATTAAAATGAATCCTTATTATGGTAACAAATAACATTAAAAAATCGCCCAGTTAAGCACATTCGCATAAGCACATTTGGGCAATTCTTTTTAAATTGTCGTTATTCTCATTAATGTATCTGAGAGAATGGAAGAAAACAAGTTAATACAGAAAATTTGCTTAGATTTCGGAAAAAGCTGGTGGCGTTCGGATAATATTATGATGACAAATATGGAATATTTGTAATCAATGAATATTATTAAAGTTTACCAGACTTCTTAAACCCAATATGTTAGCGTAAATTTAAGATAGCAGTGAATTTATCTATTATAGGAGATGATTAGTACGGGACACTAGCAAAATATAACATTAATTAACAGTTTCCAAAAATTAGGAAACAAATATTCAATGACTATAAAAATATTCTAATGATTCATTGAAACTAAGACGGTGAAGAATCTATCAAATAGATTTTCATATTCAAAAATTACCGAAGCAGCTGTCAATATCACTAATATCCATTTGTTTTTCCACAATTAAGAGTCGCAACCAGCCAGTAACCGTTATTGACCAATAGTGTATTGAAAATAAACAAAAGGCGGTGGCGGTTACGACCTTCCAATATAAAATAGTTTATTTATTTGACTGGTGCTGTTTTCAAACAAATTATAGTGCAACAACATGGTGATTTAAATGATTATCTAGCCCTAGTTGTATGTCAGTTTCTATGTCTATTTTGCTGTGTTTGCATGCTGGTATTGAAGGTAGGTTATATTCAATTAGTATTACCAAGTTATTTTCTGTTTTATTTCAAGTTTCTTATGGGGCACTTTGTCTGGAATTCGAGCCTATTTTGATTATATTGTGGTCATTACAACAGAGCTATTGAAATGTGACTATAATTTTTTTTTGTGGTATTCATCGTCATAAGCGTTAGTGCCCACTGCTGAGCAAAGGCCTCTTCTCATTCGGAGAACGTTAGAGCATTAATTACCACGCTTGCTCAATGAGGGTTGGCGATTTCAAACTTATAATTAGAAATTATAACTCCAGGTTTCCTCACGATGTTTTCCTTCGCCGTAAGTCAGTGGTGTCTAAATAATCATAGAAAGTACATATAACTAGGAAAAAGTCACATTGGTACTTGCCAGATTTTGGACTCACACCCTCATGCATGAGAAGCGGGCTCCTTAACCTCCGGGCCACCACGACATCCACGACATTCATCCTCATTGAGATGTTCATCGAGCACAAATATTCCATCATCAGTCCAGCTGCTGAGCAAAGACCTCTTCTCACACGGAGAAGGTTTGAGCATCAATCACCTGCTTTAGTTTGTTCAAGGTATATTATAATTCCAGGTTGCCTCATGATGATTTCCTTCACCGTATGTCAGTGGTGTCTAAATAATTATAGAAAGTACATAGAAGAGTAACATTGGTGAAAAATTATCAAGTTACTTTTCCCACCCCAGGTGGATTAAAAAGAGGTGTCAGAGTGTAACTGACAAAAATCCCCATTTCGTCTTTGCTCCGTCGTGGGCCGCGGTACATGATTTCACTAGCACCGAACCTCTGGTAGAGATTGGTTTTAGTGACCCCACTTATGGTGCTTCGATAGCTCGGATCTTATTCTGGTCAGGTAGTGAGCTACACTTGCTATGCGCCTAGGACCCGAGCTTACGTCAGCTGGAGATTGTATCAGAACCCCGACGCAATGAGCGTCTCCTGCTCGCAACTGTCCCACGGTTGTATATGATGCTTTACAAATAACACGCAATCATTGTTTAATTGCCTTTACCATTTCCAATTACATGATATTTGCTGTGGCTCGATGATCGGTTGCACAACGTCGTTCGCAGCGGTTAAAAGCTCGACTTTTTTGCATAAAAATACCTTTGCTAGTCCGGAGTCAGGCAAGTTGGCTGTGTTTCACCCCCTTGTGTTGGAGAGCCCTAAGACTAATGTCTCTCCAGTTGTGTTTGTCTGCAGTCCCATTGGACTCAGATAACAAGGGAACAAAGAGTGCACTAGTGTTTTAGGTTATTGAAATAGCCCATTTTAATAACACAGGTTAGCCACCATTATTGAAACCTTGTCAAGAGGACTTGAGGTTACAAGGCCTGAATAATAAGAGATAATGTATGTAGGTATATATCGTAGCCTTATACTTTATATAGCCGTGCATTCAATGAGATAGCCCTTTATTTGCGATGGTCATTCGATTTCTGTACAGTTTACAGTTTTAACCGAACCTAATCTGCCATTTTAGTAGCAACTCAGTTTGCAGAACAATCCCTTTACCCTTCAACTTACTGCTTTAATGAGAAATTTAGCCACTCAATCAAATTACTAGTCATTCAGGCTGTTGGTTAAACGGCTATTACAACGATTTGGCTGCGACATATATGTATCAGGCTATATTGGTACTTAAATTTAACCCAACTTCGGGTTTTTTTAATAAAGCATTTTTATTACGCGTTGTTTTTTTTTAAATTTAGAATTAATTTAGAAAATATATTATTAAAAAAAACAGGCATTCTTAATGAAAGATTATTCAAACGAAATTGTACCATAAAACGTATTTTTCAAGTAGATAAATTATAAAAATTGAATAATTGGAATATTATTTCATGATTAAACTTCTCAGGTACGAAATTGAGTCATAAAACCTGTGTTATGGACAGCACTCAACTTTTTAATAAGTCCGATGGCGGGTCATGTCATAAATTAAAAATACTTGGAACTCGTTAATGACTTTTAATTTTATATATTTTACAATTAAAAATAAAATAACTTTGGTTTGCGTTAATTTATAGAAGTTTTAAGGAATAGTTTCATTATTAAAATTGTTCTGGCAAAGTAGAATGAATCTTAATTCGAGTCTGTTTAGGTTCCTGTTTTAGGCCGAGGCGGCGGGGTAGAGGAGCAGGAGTAGGTATGAGATGACTTTTAGTCAGTTAAAGTCTGACATTCCTTCTTGCATTATCTACGGCTGGAGGAGTCATTTGGTAATTCTCCCATTCCGTCCCAAAATACAAAACTAGCCCACTAGTTACATGTTTTTGTTTGTGTTTACGAAAACTTAAATTAACTCATGTGACAAATATGATCGTGAAGAAAAAGGTTAATACAGGGTGTAAGGGACAGCCTTCCGCAAACTCATAGGGCGAATTCAGTATATCGTCTTAAGTTGACCGGTACATGAAATTATTTCAGGAACGTTATGGGAATCCAATTAAACCGATTTGTTTCATTACCTTACACGCAATGTATCGCTACCACCGCAAACGCACGCAGCGAACGGCAGCGCTTTTAGTATTATTACTTTACACTATGGGCAGCGCCGCGAACTTACCTTTCGGACAAACGGTCGCGCTCGCGCCACGTTTTAATAAAAATAAATTATTTTTTAAAAGATAGCCGCATTACTTACAAAAGACAATGTAATAATCGCGCTCGCGCCACGTTTTAATAACAATAAATTATTATTTAAAAGATAGCCGCATTACTTACAAAAGAAAATCTAACAATCACAACATGGTAACTGATAAATGATAAAAAAAAGAAAAATGCGTACCTTAGAATCGCTCCGGTTTCCGGCTCTGGAAAGCATTTGTGATGCGGTCTCGCATTTCGTACTCACTTGCACACGCACTCACAAACACTTTTTCTTTTACGTAACCCCACAAAAAGGGGTCCAAATGGGTTAGGTCTGGCGATCGTGCTGGCCACGGTTGAGGTCCAAACATACCTAAACTACGTTTAAATAGGAAAGCACTGGTAAGTGGTAGCGTCTCGTTACGTTAGCGAACCAATTCCAAAATCCACGTAGGTATTGGTCTTCCGGCGCCTTTTTGTCTGGGAACAATTGGCTGGATTTCTAGCAAGCGTTGATAGGCACCAGTAATTATCCTGGAGTCTGATGGATGCCGACGGTCAGGATACCTACACTACTACACATTATCATCTCCCCATAATCACGCGCGCTAAACGTAGGTAGTAATTTCGCACAATTTCTTCAACAAAACTTCACTACACTTCCTATAACTAATAAAACTTAACAACACTACCTACAACAAAACTTTTAAGCCGAATGCGCGAGCGATCCGTACCGACACACGCTCGCGGTACACAAACACTGACAAACAGTAACATCGCAGCAAGGCACAATGGCGACTGCATGTGATGAGACACACACAAACATAAATCTGTTGTTGCCAATTACACGAAAATTTAAAAATTTCGGGGAAAAAAATAAAAAATTATGCATGGTCGTAATTTATCATTCCGTTATTTTTTGTAGAGAAATGAATTGATTAAATCAATTTAATTCCAATTTCATTGTTTAGTAAATTTAGAATAATAAAAGTGCAGTGTGATAGAAAGCTGTGCTTCCATTCCAGGGAGATTGTGTTTAATTTCTGGCTCGACTATCAATTCATGGCTATTGTGAAGCCATGTAAAAATCTGTAAGTAGTTTAAAAACTAGCCAGTAATCGCTTGAAAGAACAATCAATTAATAAATGAGGTAGAATTTGTAAATGATTTATAATTAAAACTAGACTAATCTTTATTTATTTTTTATTCAATTTATGTGCGCGACAAGATTTTCATTAATTGATTAATGAAAATCTCATCAATGTGATTATGAATGCAAAGGAGTTCTCAAGTTTTAGATAAATTTCGATAGTTCTAACATTTTCGTTTACAAAGGTAGAAAGAGAGAAAGGTAGAAGAGGTAACAAAAGTTAAAAGTTGGCAACACTGGTTCAATCGACAGAAAGGGACGCAGCTATTCTGTACGTTGGACGAGATCGTAGGTACCTACGGCGCGGCGATCGGCGCGGTGGGCGTCGTGGCCGCTGCGCCGTGACCGCGGCGCGGTGAGTTCAAACGGCTCTAGCTAGGTAGAAATGGAACAGCTGATTTCATGCGTAGTTCTTTAGAGAATTTACACAACCATTGCGTATTTTTTTGTTTTAGCTGTGTTATTTACATTAATGTTATTCTTCATACAGAGAATGTAATTATACATTGAAATAGAGGTGTAGGAACTGGAAAAACGAAAAAAAAATTGAAAATTTTCCTGAAAGAATTTTCACTGGAATATGATTCAGAATAACGAGCTGATTGCACCCTGTTAATTTGTGGAGGGCTGTCCTTTACACCCTGTATAGTAAAGCCATGATTACATTCATGTTTACCGAACATTTAAAAACGATTAGTGTTCGATAGTTTAAAAATAATAATAATATGTAGGTACTGTTGAAAACAAAACACTATCTCAATATACGATTTAATCGCACCCCTTTTATCAACACGATCAATGACAAATAAACTAATCTAATTTTTGTCCTGCATTTCATTTTCTTTAATATTTTTTATATCAGATTTTTTATGTTTAAATGATAAAAATTACGATGGATTAATAATTTCAACTTTTTTGTTGTGAATTAATGCATCAATTTATTTTATGAATTAATAATAATGATTTCACTTTTTATATAAAATAAACTGTTAGAATATTCATTAAATAAACAAGTATGTTGAAATATTTTTTTAAAATACCATAAAAATAGTAAATTAATATTAGAACTATTGTAACTATAACAAATTGCCGGTGGCCTAGTCCTTTCGTTTCGCAATCCCTTAAGTTTCAAATCTCTTAATATCACCCAAAACAGTGGAATGAATGTACGCTAGAAATCAAGTGATTTGACACCTCTTCTACCACAAAAAATAGAATATCGCCTAATTTGGACTCCACGGCATTGACGCTTAGGCTGGACAACTAGCTGCCGCGCAACGTTTCATGGTTTAGATTCTCACACAAAAAAGCTGTGATCACGTGTGCTCCACAAAATTGTTGTTTCGGGTCTGGGTACGACACGGAAGGCAATAAAACACACAATGCTTTTTTAAATAAATAAATAAATGATTCATTAAGTGTGGGAGAGCCATGCTTCGGCACGAATGGGTCGGCTCGACCGGAGTGATACCACCGCCTCACTGAAAACCGGCGTGAAATAACCACAGCGTTGTGTTTCGCCGTTTGAGTAAGTTTAACGGAGGCCCAATCCTTCCCCTCCCCCAATCCCTCCTCAATCCCTAAATCTCCAAATCCCTAATCCCTAAAAGGTCGGCAACGCACTCGTAGCTCCTCCGTTGCGAGTGTCCATGGGCGGCGCTGATTGCTTACCATCAGGTAATCCGTCTGCTCGTTTGCCGAAATATTACATAAAAAAAAACACTGACCTCGAAGAATCTTAGATTTTTTTTAATACAACCAAAAAATCTTTATTTCACTTACCTTTTGTTATTTAGTTCTTTACGTTTTCAAAGTAAATTGTTCTGTCGACAATATCACAGTACTTTCATCTCTGTATTCAATAACAGTACAGAAAAACAATACGTGAACAATAAAGTTTCTCGGAAGTTGTAAAATCAAGTGTTTTTCTGTGATGTAGGTATAGGATGAGTTTTAACTTGGAATATGTTTTGTTAAAGATCAAGTCAAAAGAAATACAAAGGATTCTCAGGAATAAATGTCAGACTGCTTAAAAATCTCTACTTATGTCACTACGACCCTTAGTTGTTGGGCCAAAATTATTCACTAAACCATTCGTCTAACAAATATGTCAAAACTAATTTACAGCTGCATTTCTTACCGTCGGATATGGAAAATTTGTATAAAAATTAAAAAAAGTAGCATTTCCTATTTTGAGATTTCTGTATTAATACAGGTGTACCTATCTTATACTTTAAATCAAATTTCACTTTTCATATTATATATATATATATACAAATATATAAATCTTGTTATAGTATGTCTAAATCTAACTTGACATTTTGATACATAGAGACAATAGGTATTTTTCATCAAAGAATCACGCTAAAACGCAGATAGTAAAGAATAAAACTGATACAGTAGAGTTCGATTTTGATTGAGTAACATAGACCGAAAGAATTTTCCTTTTAAAATAATAATTGTACACGATCACTTTGATCAAAATCATTTTATGCACTAACCTGAATGTTAGTCAGTAAATTTAGGACAAGAAGTCCGAAAACAAATTAAACGACTTGACGTTTCAAGGTCAAATGTGAAGTAAAGTTAATATTTTGTTTGTATCGTGAATTGAGTGACCATGAGTAAGAATGTACCATGATAACTAAAATCTAGGAGTTTGAAATAACTTATTTTTGTCTTGTTAGGGAAAATCATCAAATGGCTTCTTTAGCCCAGGCTGAGGTGAGGGGTAGCGTTAGAGTCACGGTACCTTATTGCACTAGCCCATTAACCCCGGCTGATTTGGCTCTATTCCGATTGCATTTTGTATTATGCAATTTGTTTGAAATTTTGCAACTTGCTATGCGATTTCGCCTTAATTCATATAGTTCATGTACTATCGAAGATTATTTTGACAAAACTGGCATAAGGTTAGGAAAACATTGTGAAGAAAACTGAACTTAAAATTTATAATTATAAATTCGAAATTGCCATCCTGATTTGAAAAAGAGTGGCGATACTCATTACTTCTCTGTAGAAAAGTATGCGCAGCAGTGGACGCCTATTTGCTGATGACTTGTAAGATTTGATAGATATCTGTGCTTATGTAGACAATATCTAATTTATAGCTCCATCTAGATTTTTTCATAAAGAAAGAATAATTGATTATAAAATTTTACCATAATGTCGAATGTATTTCCAATCGATTTGTTAGTATTCATTAGTCTATATTATTATCTTTCGATTTTATTAGTGCTAATGCTAGTTGTAAATAAAGCCAGGACGTTTTTGTTATTGTAGGTATTATAATCACAAATCACTAAAACGTAAGCCATAATAAAAAATGTCATTAGTCAAAATACCTGCAAACATGACAAACAATAATTAATTGATGTATAGTTTTGCTTTTAACGCATTTAAAAACAGTTTTTTTAATGCAATAACCCTGCCACCATCTCCCAAAACTGCTGCAACTAATTCTGGAAGCCAAGTCTCTTTTTTATGTGATAGAACGTCAAACGAGCGGACAGATTACCTGATGGTAAGCAATCGGATTTACAGTAGATACAACCATAAAAACACCGACATTTTGGAGTCGGGCTAGACCCAGGGAGATGAATAACTGTCTTGGATCTATAAACGAAGTAAATTTGTAGACATTCATATTCAAAAAAGTGTATTGAATTGTGGTAAATCCAAACTAATGTTATAAATGCGAAAGTAACTCTGTCTGTCTGTCTTTTCTTCACGCCTAAAGCACTGAATCTATTTGTGTGAAATTTGGTACAGACATAGTTTGGAACTCAAGAAATGACATAGGATAGTTTTTAAACCGAACAACGACAGAAAATCACTATTCCACGCGAATAAGTCGCGGGCAAAAGCTAGTAAAACATATTCATTAACTCACCCTGTATGTAAAGGGATTCACTCCACTTCATAACAGCTTATACTTGCCAATTGCAATAATAAGGATTAAAAGTTCAAGTGTAATTGCGATAGTAAATACTATATTATATTCGCAGAACCCTAATGCGGAATTTATGGAACACAGTTATCAGTAACATCGGCGTTGGCAGTGTAAATACAGTTAATAGCTTGTTCAAATCATGGGGGAAAATCGCGCCGACATATACCATGGATTTATACTCTTTGGAAAAGTTTAAAAAATATAAGAAGGATTGGAGTTGTAAGTACCTATATTTTTTTATTGTTTTTCTAACCTGGTGTGTGTTTTTAATTGCTAATTTATTTTTATTTTTATTTGTAAATTTTGGTGTAAGGTTTTTTAAGTTTTATTTTTTTTATTTGTAAGTCGTTTGTGATTTTATTGTAGTTAGAAAATGTATGCGGGCGTAAGTTGGATTAAGTTACCCATAACCTTAGAAAACTTTAACAAATGCCCTTAAGTCTTAACATGAGTGCTTATGAACTGCTACATTAAAATGAATGGATAGGTGTCTCACCGTGAAGGTTTTGTCACATATTATGTCGCAGTAAACAATCTTAATTAGGCATTCATTCAAGGGCCTGAACAACTAGATATTTGATTGAATAACTGAATTTGTAGCCAGCACCTAGCTTCACTGACGATCAGACTTAAATGCAAACTGTTATTCTAATTTGACGTTTCAAAAGAACTTTATTATGGTTTAGTTGGAATAAATGATTTTGATTTTGACTTTGACTCTGTTTCAGTACAACACTAATAACTATTTATTTGTGGTGATGATTCGATTCCTGCGCGAGTCGTTTTTCTAAGATAAGCTAACCTACCATTCCTGTAGCAAGTAGGTTTTCATAAAAACCTTCACCCTTTAACTTACAGCTTAGATGATAAATTCAGTCATAAAACAACTGGCCGTTGTTTGAATGAATTAATTTAGTTTAATTGCCTACGACTTCATAACACACACCAAAACAAATCAATCAACCGACACTAACCCTAATTTATCACCATTTTAGAGGTCAATTTTGAAAAGTTTATGCATTTTATTTGATATTATATAAAGTCGTAGAAAGTGACATAAACACAGGTATTTTTATTTTCACAATAAAAACTTCTTAGTTTCCGAAAACAACAGAAGTATTAAATGATATAATAGCAATTTACTGCAAAATTTAAGTTTGCTTCTACTCTGAATTTGAACTTAGAATTAAAATTTTGGATAAGAATTAAAGATGAACCATTTCAGCATTTCCCTGTTGTACGAATTAATTATTATGTATACCAGTACTTTGTGCTTATTAGGTACGGCTGCAATGCTGACACTAGATTTCTTCATACTTAAATAGATGTTATTTTGCATTTAAACCTTTCGCTTTAATCACTTTGTCTATAAAAAAGAACCAAATCAAAATCTGTTGCGTAGTTTTAATGATTTAAGCATACATAGGGATAAAGAGACCGAGAAAGCAACTTATTCCAAACTATATATGTAGTGATATAGTGTCTAAGATATTAATTTATTGTAACATCTTTTAGCGATGAACAAGAATAATAATCAAATTGGTGTAAGCATATTGCTGGGCAATTGCGTTATTTACAATTATTTTCTTTGGAACGCGTTATAAGAAGTTGTATCTTATAAAATAATGCTTAATACTTAGTACTCATAAGGAACATAGCGTATTTATGGAACTATAGACTACAGTTTTCTAGACAATAGTTACAATACTTATAAAATTAAGACACATCTAGACCCATTTCAAAAGTTATTTACCTACCACGGCAAAACATTATTTACTGTCCAACTTACAGAACTTATGAAACTAATTAGTAAACTTAAAGTTACTTTGTATCCAGTAGTACATAATCTAGGCCTAAGTATAAAGATATATTTTTCCCTAGAGCTTAACTTAAGTACTAAAAGGAAAGGCTAAAACCAAACAAGTTAGGTTTGCCGAAATAAAGCATTAGGTTCATTTGAGTAGGTACCTAATGAAATATTTTATAGTTGTTTAGAGTACTTGTATTTCTGTGTGGTTGATTTTATGTGACACAACTTTGTGATTTATGACTTATGTAAAATATTTTGTAGATATTTAAGGTAAAGGAAATAAAAGAGAAAATGAAATTAATAATCTATAATAGTCATAACAAGAGGGAGATAGACAAATATCACTGTTTTTATTAAAATTAACGGCTTATTTAAGTGAAGTATTTGATGTCTCTATGAATTGAAACTATTATTATTCACGTGATTAAGCCGTTGTTAACAAATTTTGCTTAGTTACTTTATTAATTACACAAATAAAAACTTCATTTTTTATTAGAAAAAGTAAATTCAACTGTTGATTTGAATTTCGCTATTTTTAATAAATTTACTCTGTCAGTCTGCACATCAGTGATGTTAGTTGCTCGTTCCAGAAATATCTAAAATTTCATCAAGTATAACGAGCAAAAACTTTCATCGCTATACGAGTTTCTTATTACACAGATCCTGTAAATATCAAACACCAAGAACAGGTGATACCAGCGAAAGAGAAGCCATGTTCTACCTTCCAATCCGCCATGAAGGTGACCTTGACTATAGGACAGTGCTTCGGATTGAACCCTGTACAAGGCATTCGTGGGGATGATCCTGCTAAATTAAGGTAAGTATAAGTAGAAATATTAAAACCCTTGACAGGGGATGAAATTCTAAGATCTATTCTGTTCGTCAGTTAGACAATGTTAGACTCTGATTTATTTTGTCATGTAAGACCGCCCTGAGATTAAGCTTCTTATGCATGAAGTTGGGTTTTCAAAATCTGACAAGTAATAAAGTGACTTTTTCCGAGTTGTATGTACTTTCTATGATTATTTAGACACCACTGACATACGGTAAAGGAAAACATCATGAGGAAACCTGGACTTATAATTTCTAACTATTAGTTTGAAATCACCAATCCGCCTTGTCCGCGTGGTGATTAATGTTCAAACCTTCTGTGTGTGAGAGGCCTTGATTAGCACTTAAAGGCTGATGATGATGATATAAGTATACAAAATTGACACCCCGCTCAGTATGAAAATTGAAACTTGGGACGACGCATTAATAAGAAATTTCATAAAATGCGTTTATTTAAAACGTTGAGTAACATATCAAATCTCTTTCAGATTTAAACTGCTATCATGGCGGTGTGCATACACGGGGATATCTCTGGTTGGCCAGTTTACCATGGCCTTCGTATTGTTCCTCAGCTTGTTCAAAGAAGCCTCTTCTACGGTGGACACTGCAAGTTAGTAAACAACACTTATATAAAATACGTATTATATAAATTATGGATGTACAGTCAGCGTCAAATATATAGGGGTTTCAGGATACTACTAGTAATATAGACGCACACAAACCACCAAAATTTCGGTAAAACAAAGTCAACATATTGATAGGTTCACGAAAAGGGACATACATATCGGTGCAGTTTAACTGTCACTTGTATCAAGGCACTATAAGAGTTCAAAAATATGGAACACACTAGGAGAATGAACTTTAAGACTATATGTAATATGTATATTTTAAGTATTATGTCACTCGTCTGTTGTTAATAAATTGTTGATACCTATTTATAGGTATATGCTGACTTTGTTGTACCGAAATTATGGAGGTTTATGTGCGTCTATATAATTGAGCACTTTGAATGTCCCTATATATCTGACGCTGACTGTACTATGATGAGGCTTAAACTTTTTCTAATTATGAGATTGCTTCAAATTGATTTTCACACTATAAGCTTAAAAATCTTTTAGCGTGGTTTGATCCGCCTAATATTTTAAACGTGTAAGTATGTTTGGTATAAGTTTATATAAAAACTACTTGGTTATTAGGCATTTTGATGAAAATCCGAATGAAAATAACGCGAGCGAAGTTGACAGAAAGTAAATTAATGAGCTTTTGACTGCCGATGTAACATTTTTTTAAGTTTGTCGTATTAATGATTTATTTTTATCTTAGTGGTTCTGGAAGCCCTATAAGGAGACTTATTTATTCTCAACAGTGGATGTTTTTTTTTGGCTGAAATGATGATGACGATGATTCTATCTTTAACTCTTAAATTAAAACAAAATATAAAAAACAACCGATATTATTAGGTAATATAAATGCGAATGTTACTCTGTCTGTCTGTCTGTGTTTTCTTCACACCTAAATTACTGAACCGATTTCTGTGAAATTTGGTATAAACTTATTTTGGAACTCGAGAAAGGACACAAATAACAAATATCTGCAAAAAGTCACTATTCCAAGCGAACGGAGTCGCGGACAAAATCTAGTTTATAATAAAGTAAAGAAAAATGTTTGATTTTTGTTTTTTGTTTTTTCTTTAACTGCTCGTGCAATTGCCAAAGAAAATTTACATATATTAGCTCCTATATTATCAAAATACCCACATCTGGGCTGATCAACCTGCTTTTCTCGTAAGTCTTGGAACTCGATAAATATGGTTTGGAACTGAAGATAATAAATAATAGGTAGGTACTATCTCACGACTCGCTTCTGACTTTTAATTTCCTCTTGACCTACCGTTTTGCGGTAAACTACAATTTAAATTTGGAGAAATAGTGGAACTGCAGATCTTAGTTTGTTTTGCCATGTGGCATTATTAAAATGATATTGTCTACAAACTAACTAACTAATAACTACTTCTAACATTATTACAGTTGCCAAAGAAAAGTACGGTGTTAAGACAAAGATATTGCCCATGATAAATGTGCAAAAAAATTGCTAAGCATTTTTAATTTTGTCTTTTACGATGACAATATTTGAATAAAAAGAATTACAGTTTAGGAGTAGGAACTTTCCAAAACATTAACCAAACAATACGATACGATACTTCAAATCTTTTAATCATAGACATTTTTGAATTATTTGAGAAAATACAAAAATATGTGTATCTACAATGCTTCAGACGTCGAAAATATTGGTCACTACTTTTAACATGAAAACAAAATGATTTTAATGAATACACAATTATAATTTATCAAATCGGCTTTACAGTACAAAAACGCGCGAAACAGTTAAAATGGCGTAGGACTAGTGTTGCCCGCCCTCGCTTAGTAGGATTTTATTTCTACCACTACCTATAAAAAAATAACTAATTAATTATTTCCTTTCAGCCGCATTATTATTCTACAGCTTTGGATTTACAACGACGATATTATTTTTTCGGATTGCAACAAAATGGCCGAAGTTGTGTATGGTTATAGCCAAGGCGGAATCTGCTGATCCTAACACAGATGCCAAACTAAAAAGGAATTTTAACATCGCTTGTGGAATAATACTTTCATTGGCTTTTCGTAAGTGTTACGAATGTTTACTGAGCAATTAAAGTAAGCATTCATTTGTTGTAATAGGACATTGAAGCGGATTTATTGAAGGACCTCCTGGTGGTCAACAATCAGCATCGCCCATGGACAACCGCAACAACAGAGAAGTGGCTAATGCTACCTTTTATTTTGAAACATATATTGACATTATATATAATGATAATTGTGTGACATTAATTCTTTTTTATGTATTAAATTCCTATTTTGACATTTAATTAATCATTACTTATAAATAAAATGTGTCGCTATTATTATTTATTGACTTTATAAGTATTGTAATTTTTAACTAATTTATTTTAAAAACTGACTGTTATGTATTTTGTCTACTTTGTCATAATCATTAACTATTATTGTTCGTAAAATGAATTACTATCGATATTTTTTTATTAAATTATTCATATAAACGTCATACTGTATTAATAAACAAAAAAATAAATTGGGAATAAGGGAACCAAGCAATAAGGCTTTGACCTCACTCACGCGAAGAAACACAGCACACGTGTTAATTCACGCGGGAATCCTTTAAGGCCCATTTGTGGCATAGTATGGCAATCTTCCCTTCAAATAAAAAAGTGGTTATTAGTGTTACAAGTGTTTATTGATTTAAATCTTTTTTTCAGTGGAACACGGATTTTCAGAACTACATGGAATTTCTATAGCACTTGACTGCCACCCAGAAAAGCCTTTATATGAAACGTTTATGAGGGATAGCTTCGCCTGGCTGTTTTTATATCTTCCATACAATGATTTTATTGGATTCCTTTCTCATGTTAGTATCAATCAAAATATTATTAAATTTTCAGTGTAGTGATTGGAAAATCGAAAATGCATTAGAATTTTTTTATAGTTATGTTTCATTCATTTATTTTACAGTTATGTTGCCCAGTGTCGAAATATTTCCGTAATTTTGATTGATTATAATTTTTTATCATTCTCTTATAATTAATCAGGGATTAATTAACAAATACATTGGATGACACGATTCCGTACCTTTAGCACAGAGCGATGACGTAGCGTCTTTAAGTTACGATACGTCATCTTTACGATTATAGATCCCATTTCTTGGTATATTATTAATTAAGACAGTAAAATTTACATAAAGATCAATATTTTTCTTTTCAGTTTTTCAACATTCAATGCACTTTCAATTGGAACTTTAGCGATGTGTTCGTTATTTGTATGAGCATGTACTTGACAGCGAGGTTGGAGCAAGTTAATCAAAGGATTATAGCTGCTAAAGATAAGGTACTAAGGTAGTACAGTAATGTAGAAGCACAACCTTGATTTAAACTCTTTCTAGTTTTATTTCTGCTTTTATTATTATTCAAGGTCATATCAATCGCTGTATTAGTTCATATTTTAAAACCAAATATAATAATTTACCGCTTGATACTAGAATCGTATTTAAAACTTCCAAATTAATAATATATCGTAGTTTTGTTGTGTTTCGGTTGTGCAATTCAAATCGCTTACATTTTAATAATTTTGGCGTATATAGGTGTTTTAAAGGTTGTCTAAACAGTATGCCATCTTTTTTATAGTGGTATTTCAGTATTATGGTAAGTAATCAGCGCCGCCTATGGATATTGACAATACCAAAAGAGGAGTAGTCCTTTGATTATGCAATGCCGACCTCTTGTGATTTATTAGGGATTGAAGGACTAACACGGCGAAAAGTGTTACTTTACGCCGGTATTCCGTGCAGAGGCATGGCTCTCCTAAAATTATCATGTTAGACAATGGTTTGTTTCTCGTCCAGAACTCACCATCATCATTTTGGAGGACAATGCGTGAGGACTACAACAGATCAGTTCACTTAGTGCGACAAGTTGACAAGATCATTGGGGGCGTGGTCTTTATATCTTTTGCAAGTAACCTCTTCTTCGTCTGCTCACAGCTGCTGCATACACTCGCGTGAGTAGTTTTCAGTTGGGTATTTTTAAATGTCAAATATACATTTTTGCATTCTCGATTATCCGACTTTAGTAAGCTGTTATTTTCAATGAATTTGGAACGCCTTAGGAAAGTTATTATAAAAAAAATATTATTATCATAAACTATTTATTTTTTATAACAGCGGAGGCATTAGAGCGGCTCCAAAATGCAGACCAGACTTAAACACAGATCGACGGTTTGTAACGCATTTGCCTATTATTATCGCAATTCAATCTATTGTTAGGAAACAGCTTTTAAACGATAGATCTTATTGAATTCTTGCTTCTAAACTGATGAAAATATTTATTTGACACCATTGCCACCTGAAACACCAGAGCTGACTGATTCTCTGAGCCGGTTCGATCCCACTCAAGTGCTGGTTCACGCTGATTTTCTGTGAAGCCTATCACTCCTATCAAGTTGTCCCAGTTATACCAAAACATGCAAATAAGCTCCCACGTAAATTAGCTATTCTTTCCTTATTACAAAATTCCTCATCCTTTAACCCATGATCCAAGCACGACACAATGTGTTTTTTATTGTTTGTCATATTGTATGCGCTGCTGACTGGATGTGGCGCACACAACTTGAGTTGTAGATAGGAAGAAATCACTGATAGTCAAAGAATATCCGTTTAATATAGGTATACTTCGCTAACAAGTAACTAAATCTATCTATATTGAGTTGAGTACTGCTGAATGTGTACTAGCGCGTTATAGCGCGATTTGAGTAAAGTAAATGCAAAAGTGCTGATGTGAATGAGCGCGTGCCCTGTACGATACATGACACGTACACATATATCGAGAGACCAGAGGTTAATTAACGCCTTGTTTACTCTCATACAGATTCTTCGGCGGCTACGAACACGCTGTTTACTTCGCCTTTTCGTTCCTATTCCTAGTTGTAAGGTCGCTGACTGTATCACTAACTGCTTCTAAAGTGCATGCCGCCAGCATAGAGCCTGCGCATGCGTTGTACGATGTGTCTTCTGCGAATTATTGCGTCGAGGTGAGAATCTTTTTGGAACATATTTTAATAACTAGTGCTGTAGACCAATTCTAATATACATATATTTAAATCATGATGAAACAAATTAGTTTAACAGTAACAAATTTAAAGAGTCTTGAAAAATACTGTATGAACTATTAAATAGAGAAATAATATTATGTACATATGTAAATGGGAAATTTCGAAGCTTACAAATAACTTCATTGACACAGAAGCTAAAGAACCTAAGCAGGCAGTGGGAACGAAAGAAAAACATTGATATTCTGTTATAAAAAATAACCACTAAAATAAATGTTTACATCGTAAAAATATTTCTCAAATAAAAAACATCTGACGTAAGTAAAGACCAAACACAAATAAAGTACAACAAACGGAAAATTTTCTAAGTTGTTGTAACTAAATTATTTTTACTGAACTCACCTCGCCACGGTAAAGTTTCGTAAACAAACAATCATGTACTTACTGAACTTTTCGACGAACTAGAAAAGTGTTCAAGGTAAGATTACGATGTTAGGACAAATTAATGGAGTTGTTTGTTTTTATATGTATATGTTGAAATAACAAGATGCCTATTTTTTATGGTATAGGTCCACAAACGAGCAGACAGATTACCTGACGGTAAGCAATCAGCGCCGCCTATGGACACGAGTAACACCAAAGGAGTTTCAAGTGGTCTTTTAGTGATAAAGGTTTCGGTTATTTAAAAAATTGGGAAGAGATTTAGAGAAGGGGAGGGGCTGGGTCTTCAGTAAGCTGGTGGTTTCACGCCTGTTTTCTATGAGGTCGTGGTATCACTCCGGTCAAGCCAAACTATTCGTGCCGAAGCATGGCTCTCCCACATTTAGGCAGAAATATTACGTTTAACGATTATGACGTTACGGAGTGTATTCCTCTGATTGGCTATTTAACTTGGAACAGGCCAATCAGGTCGCCTAACGTCATAAACGAGTCGATCGTAATTTAAATTTATAGCACTAGGCACCAAGTTTTAGTACAATGTTATTTAAGTTACTATTTACATATATTGTGATCTAATTCAAAAATTGTAAGTTGAAAAGTGTAGTTCCAATAATGTGTTATTATGCTTCTAAATTATTAAATAAAATTCTAAACTGTCTTACCTTACCCAGGCCTTTAGGCTTAGACCCTAGGACCTAGGATGATTTTTGAACCGATATCGTCACGCTTTTACCTTTGACCCTAAGTCAGTCGCAAAGCAGCCCACAGCTATGTGTATGTTTGGGGGCTGAGTCACCCGCGTCCGTAGGAGAATACCCACAGTTAGGCCCTACACGTGGTCCCCGGGTGGTGCTAATCAGGTGACACTAGCTGGTGGTAGGTTTCGACCGATGGCTTGTGACCACCCACTGGGCAAAGACGTACCGCCAAGCGGCCTAGCCGTGTTCCGGTACGATGCCCTGTGTAGCCACTTCTGAGGGAATGGGTCGAAGTGGCGGTTCCAATGCATGCAGACCAGCCGGCCTCGCGCTGGTATTGACGTATCGGGAGACTAGTCGAGGAGGGTAGCGGGATCCGAGGCACGGTGCACCGCTGGCCGACCGCAGTTAGTAGGGGGCCCAAGTAATGTGCTAGCCACACGTGAAAGGCTGCCCCGCCAACTGACGAAAAATCCCGGAATGCACCATCGTGCTGGTTGGCGACCAGAAGAGAGGGCCCGATGGTCATTTCCGGGGGGGCTCGGGCGTCCCCGCAGTCTCCAGACTAGTACCCCAATGATGCTGTCCCACCGGTGCGCGACCGAGGGTGGGCTGCATTGGGCTCCATCTCACTTCCTTCTCCTCATACCTCCTTCACTCATATTATGCCAAGGTCCAAGAAAAAGAGAAACGGTACACAGCGGCTGCACTCCCTCTCACTTAAAGTGCACCTCAGCAATATTCGAGGTCTGCACTCCAATCTCTCAGCAGTCCATCACCACCTTGAGACGGAAAAACCATCCCTCTTTTTTCTTTCGGAGACGCAGATTAGAAGTCCATCAGATGTGTCGTATCTGTCTTACCCAGGGTTTATCCTGGAGCACAATTTTAAACCACACGCTGGCGTGTGCTTGTACGCCCGGGACGACATCTGCTATCGGCGTCTCCGCAACCTTGAGGATCCCAAATTCTCAACGCTTTGGGCTCTGGTGGACACAGGCATGGATAAAATTATCTATGCTTGTGTTTACCGCTCGCACAGTGGAGACCAGGAGGTGACCAGGCTCACACAGTACCTTAGTGAGGCGGCGGATGCGGCTCAGCAGAGGTACCCTTCCGCTCAACTGGTGTTACTGGGGGACTTTAATGCCCACCATCAGGAGTGGCTCTTCCCATACCAGTGCACAGACCATGCTGGTCGAGAGATGCGAAAGCTTGCGCTGGCATTAAATCTCACTCAGCTGGTCCAGGGAGCTACAAGGGTGCCGGATGTTGATTCGCACACGGCCAATTGCTTGGACCTTCTGCTGACAACAGATCCAGACCGCTACTCAGTGTCGATATCATCACCGTTAGGTAGTTCCGACCACTGTCTGGTGAAATCTGTATCAGTCTATTCTCCGCCTGATCTCTGCCCTAGAGGCACCAGGCGGATTTGGCAATACAGGTCAGCAGATTGGGAGGGCATGCGATCTTTCTTCGCATGTTATCCTTGGCAGCCTACTTGCTTTTCTTCGAATGTGATCGCGCTAATGCGCTTAAACACGAAGCATACCGGGCCTGGGCCGACGCTCGCATGCGTAAGGCGAGTGACGTGAGTCAGAAGAAGAGAGCCTTCAACAGTGCTGCCAAGTCTTGCAAGAAGGCAATGCGGAGGTCTCGATTCGACCACATCAGCCGCATCGGGAACAAACTTGCTTCATACCCCGCTGGTAGCAAAGCGTTTTGGTCCTTGGCTAAGTCGGTTGAATCGAACTTCTGCCGCCCCTCACTACCGCCATTGCTGAGGCCCGACGGTTCGCTGGCCCACACCGCTGAGGAGAAAGCAAATCTGTTTGCCTCCCTCTTCGCGGAATCTTCGCGTCTAGATCCCGGTGACGCGCGGCCCCCTGCTTATCCTGATGGTTGTGAGACGAGTATGTCAGACATTCGCATCCATCAGAAGGACGTCCGTAGGGTGCTACGTAACCTAGACGTGAACAAGGCTAGCGGTCCTGATGGGATACCGGCAATCGTGCTGAAAACGTGTGCGCCAGAATTGACTCCAATCCTGACGCGCCTATTTAGGCTTTCATTTGAGGCTGGAAAAGTTCCGAATGCATGGAAGCAAGCTAACGTACAGCCCGTGCCCAAAAAGGGTAGTCGGGCTGACCCAGCTAACTACAGGCCCATCTCAGTAACGTCCATTCTCTGTAAGACAATGGAACGTGTGCTGAACACAAAACTCCTGGCATACCTAGAAGCCAATGACATCTTAAGTGACCGACAATACGGATTTCGCCGGAATCGGTCCACAGGTGATCTTCTAGCGTATGCCATCCACATCTGGAGTGAGGCCATCGAGAAACACGGGGAAGCGCTTGCCGTCTCCCTTGACATCTCGAAGGCTTTCGATAGGGTATGGCACGAAAGCCTTATTAGTAAGCTTCCTTCATTCGGTTTGCCCACTGGATTGTGTGTCTGGATCGCAGACTTTCTGAGGGACCGGTCCATCCGTGTGGTCATCGATGGTTGCTCGTCGAATCAAATGACCATCAATGCTGGGGTCCCTCAGGGGTCAGTGCTCTCGGCAACATTGTTCTTGTTGCACATAAACGACCTGCTTAAGCCCGGTACCTTTGGGTATGCAGACGACAGCACTGTTGTTGAGAGTTACACGTCCGGCGCACGAGCTAGTGGGTCACAGATCCAGACTCTTCGAAAGGCTATGGTTGGGCGCTTGAACTTGTCCTTGGAGGCTGTCTCTAAATGGGGCGACGCCAACATGGTCAGGTTCAATGCAGCTAAAACTCAGGCGTGTCTATTTTCCAGCAAAAGGAGTCAATTTAGCCCTGCTCCAACTTTCCGGGGTGTATCCGTGCCGATAACTGACCATCTTGATCTTCTGGTATAACGCTGACATCTACTCTCAATTTTGGGCCATACATCGAAGCAAAAGCTCAACTGGCTGCAAAAAAGTTGGGAATCCTCGCAAGGGTTTAGACAATACTTTACGCCGGAACAGCTGCTTAAACTTTATCAGGCGCAAGTTCGATCGGTTATGGAGTACTGCTCTCATCTTTGGGACGGATCTGCCCGATACCAACTTGATGCGCTTGAGTCTATTGAGAGGCGAGCCAAGAGGATCATTGGCGATGATGCACTTGTCGAGTCAAGACTTCAAAGTCTTGAGCATCGACGCCGAGTTGCTAGCCTGTCGGTTTTCTACCGGTTGCATTTCGGGGAATGTGCGTTGGAATTACATAATTTAATTCCGCCTAGCCCGTTCCATCATCGGACCACCAGACGTACGGCATTGCGCCACCGGTACATGGTGGATGTCCCACATATACGTACAAAACGTTTTGGGAGCACATTCATCATGCGTACAGCCAAGGAGTGGAATTCCTTGCCGGAGTCGGTGTTTCCTGATAGCTACAATCTGGGTATCTTTAAGTCAAGAGTGAATAGGTTACTTCTAGGTAAGCGCGCTCCATCGTCGACCGCATCGTCGCTTTCCATCAGGTGAGATAGCGGTCAAGCGCGAACCTATAATCAATAAAAAAAAAAAAAAAAAAAAAAATGTATGTATATACGAATTATTGGAGAAGCTATCGATTTAAGTAGATGCAACGAAAAAAAATTTGTCTTAAGTGAAGGGCGACGACGATGAATTTTACTTCACTACACTAGAAGACCAGATCTACCTACACAAAACACGATTCGATATTTCGTATTATTACTGATTTATTTTAACAAAAATCCAAGATTCCAATATTTCTAATCACGTCCTCGGGATCACCCCAGGGCCCATCAACTTGAGTCTCATAAGTGATCCCTCTTGAGTAGGTTAAACTCACAGACTACAATAGTAGAATATAAACTATTGGTGATGATAATTTGATTTGATTTGATGTTACTAACATATAATTTGCAGGTGGAAAGGTTCCTAGACCAGATACATGGTGACACGGTTGCTTTGAGTGGCCTTCAGTTCTTCCATGTGAAACGAGGATTGATACTAACGGTAAGACTTTTTTATTCGAATGGACGGCAAATAAAGCAGACGGATTACCTGATGGTAAGCCAATGGACACCCGCAACAAAGGAGGAGTAACGAGTGCGTTGCCAATCTTTTGGGGTTTAGGGATTGGGGAGGAATGGGGAGGGGAAGGATTGGGCATCCAGTAACCTCTATCACACGTCGAAACACAACGCTGTGGTTGTTTCGCGTTGGTTTTCTGTGAGGCCGTGGTCTCACTCCGGTCAAGCCGATACATTTATGCCAAAGCAGGGCTCACACTAAGATTGATATTGTTTTGATTAAGTATGTTTTATACTATAAGTACTAATACAAGAAAACAAGCACAATGTACCATGGCTCCGGCTCTCAGCAGGAGAAGAAAAAGGGTTGTTTTTAGTCAGTTAGACTCGTCTCACCAAGGGCAATATAAGTGACACCATGATATTATGCCTTTAAAAAAAACAAAAATAACACAATTTTTTTAAATGATTTTCGGGGCGGTATTTCCGAACTGATACTGCTACTGAACTGATACTGATACTGC